CCCGAGTCTGCTGGCGGACGTGGGATGACGCTCCTCTTGGGCAGGGGCTGGAGGAAGGCGGTGTGGCTGCCACTGTGGGTCACTCCCTGTGACAGGGCTGCTCCTGCAGAAACCGGTGCGGCTTTGTGTGATCTGTGTGAAAGTTCTCCAACCCGAGTAATTGTAAATATTAATGACAAACTACAAAATTACTTCTGTGCAGTGTGTAAGAGTAGAGCAGCCACACAATTGGTCTCGCCTTATCTTTTCTCTGTGAACAGCCAGCTGAGCTGTGGCTAGGAAGAAGGGGTCATACTTGCCTTCCTTGTATGCTGGTGGTTCTGTTAACTTTTGTATTTGCCCCTTTGGGTCAGTTGTTTTGGGGTTTAAGGTTGAAGAAGCTCTTACCATCTCTTCACCTCCTTCTTCCCTTTGAGTGAGCCGTATGTTTTCATTTTGAAATAAATTATCACATGTAGAAATTATCTCTTTGGACGTAAGAGACAAATCCCTGGAGCGTGCTGTATGCCCCTCCAACAAGCTATTATTTGAGTGTCTCTTTCTCTGTGGTGGTTACTGACGTGATTTTTCTGATCTCTCTTTGCAACATCCAGAAGATGGAGAGTCTGCACCTGGTGTGTCCCTTTCCTCCTGCCTGTGAAGAGGAGCTGAGCAACGCCAGGAGAGGCACAGGTGGGACTGGAAGGTGAAGTCCATGTCTGTGGGTCGGACAGTTAATGGATAGCAGAATTGATAGGAAGATAATGAATGGGGTTGTTTAGGATTGCACTTGGCCTGTAAAGGAAGGGAAGGTATGGAAGAGGAACTTCTGGAGGTCAGTGCCCCCCAGTATCTGGCCAGTATAATTTTTGAGAAGAATTTGATCCGTTTAAACCTTGGATCAGTGTATGCTGCTGTGAATGTAAAGGAAATGTACCTGTAGCATGCACTTCGTAACTGAATGGAGTGAAAATGGTGGAAGGCTTTAAATATGCACAGCCTGTCACTCGTGGTTTTTTCCACCCAAGTGGCAGTATGGCTCCTTCTGTGGATGCCTCTGAGCCCTGCCTTCCTGGGGCTGATGCTTTCCTCCTGTGAGCACTTCTCATTGTGGGGATGGCACTAGGTCAGCTTTGTGAGATAGATGCTGAAATGTTGAGTGATTGCAGAAATTAAAATACACTTTGGTTTTGTAGTTTAAGGCTTTCTGTTATTACCGAATTGACCTTTATATCAAGACGTACATAATTTGGCTGCTGATCCTTAGTGCCAGATGGAATTCTTTTCCATTTTTAAATGACAGAAGTAATGAGTCATTACTCTGTAGTAAAAGAAACAGATTGCTTACTTGCACAGGGGCTGGGGTTTTGGAAATCAACAAAAGGTCGTTGAAAATCCAGTGTTTTCCTCCTCCTCCCTCTCCCACTCAGGGCTTCTATTGTATTGACCTATGAATGGGTTGAACTGCTGAGATGCGCAGGTTGGGTGAAAGATTGATGAAAGATCATTTTAATTTTTCATGTAAAATTGTTGTTGAAAGAAAGCTTAAAATGGAGCCCAGAGAGAGTGAACTGTATGTGAACTTTGTGATGCTGAACTAAGGCACCTGGTGCAGCTGTGAATTTCTTTAGCAACACACTTGCTGTATCTAGGATGAAACTGTACGAATCATTTTTCTTTGATACGTTGCATGCATTTAGCTGTTGGGTTTTCTCCCTGTATAAATAATGCTTTCTGCTCATTAATAAGTTTTATGACTGTTCTCTGCAGTTTCTCAGATTTCTTAATATCCACCTGATAATTGGAGTTTGGAAGGTTAACTGTGACTGGAACAGTGAGTTCGAGAGCTGTCTTCATCTGACTTCACCACTGAATTTTTGTGGCTGATAC